CCCAGAGAGGTCACTTCTGCAGAGGGCTAACCTTGTGCACTGGCTTAGATTGTCCTGTATGGACCATTGTTGCCTTGTCCAGTCTGGTCTTGGCTAGTCTGGTCTTGTCCAGTCTGAGACATGCTTGGCTGGCTTTTTGTCACCTGGGTTAGCCTTGTCCAGAGTGGGCTAGCCTCAGGTAAACTGAGCCAGCCTCTTCTCTCATAGATTAGAGGCATCAAAGGTGATGGCAAGGACCTGTGGATCAGAAGAAGCTGTATTTATTGTTTTTTGGGGGAAGAGGTCAGAGGTGAGCCAAACACCAGCCTACCCGTGAGGACACGTCAGGCTGAAGGAGTCAGGACGATTTGGGGTCTGAAGTCCAGGATCATCCGACTCTGGAAGCTGGCACTGTGCCTCCCCAGGAAGGGGCTTCTGATCCAAGAATAACATTTGACCGCTTCTCATTGGCTCAGGGATACCCCCAGAGCTGTGGGCAGGACATAGCTGGGAGGGTTTCCCAGGAGTCCAGCAAAAGCATTGGTCCAGCATGGATCACATTTTCATCTCCAGATAAGCCCCATGGGCCGCTGGTGGGTCAACACTACCCATTCCCTAGGTTGGGTGGAGGAGGTATGCTGGGCAGATGGCCCTGATGATGGTTAGTCCAGCATTTGTCTAGGGAGGAACTCATTCATTTATTCACTCACTCATTTGATCATTCATTCATTCCCTCATTTGCTCACTTGTTCACTTATTCATTTCCTCACTTGTTTATTCATTCACTTGTTCATTCATTCCCTTGCTCATTCATTCTCTTACCCCACAGACACACGGTGGAGTTTCTGCTTCACCCATTTCCAGAGTGGAAAGTGCTTGACACCCAAAGCTTTCAACACTACCAAGGCCCGGTGCTGCTGCAGCAAACAGCCTGGCGAGGGCTGGGGGGATCCCTGCGAACTGTGTCCCCAGGAGGGCAGTGGTGAGCGACCCTGTCAGGGCACAGCCGACCAACCCCCATCGGTGCTTCCCTCCCCATGGGGCCGCACCTGGCCCCTGACTGCCACCCACCCCTCCCCTGTGTCCAGCCACCTTTCAGGAGCTGTGCCCCTTTGGCCATGGGGCAGTGCCCGGTCCCGATGACTCTCGAGAAGGTAAGCCCCTCACTCATGTGCTAGGAGCCCCCAGATCGCCCACCCCCTGTCCTTTCCCATTCTGCCTGCATCCCCAAGTCCCACATGCCCTCCGAGACCAATGGGTAGCTGTCAAGACTGTCCTGGACCCCACCAGCCTGGGGCTTGGGCCCTTGTTCCCTGGGAAGAAGGAGGCCAGACTCTTGCATGTGGTGGACTCCTGCCCTGCCTTAAACCCATGCCACCCACAGACGTGAACGAATGTGCCGAGAACCCCCGCATCTGCACAAACGGCCTCTGTGTCAACACCGATGGCTCCTTCCGCTGTGAGTGCCCCTTGGGCTACAGCCTGGATTTCACAGGCGTCACCTGTGTGGGTGAGTGATCCCGCCCAGCCCCTTCAGGGGAGGAACAACAGGCAGGGTAGGCCAGGAGCCTTTCCTCCCCTACACTCACTGTCCCATTCACTCATTCCTTCTCCCTTTATTCACATGCTCACTTATGACTTCCTTAGTTCATTCCTTCACTCCTTCAATTATTTTTCTCATTCATTCATTCACACACTCATTTATTTACCCATTCATTCACTTATTCATTTATTCATTTATATACTCATTCATTCACTCACTTGTTCACTCATTGATTCACTCATACCTTTATTCCCTCACTCATAGCTCATTCTTTCATATACTAATTTATTCCTTTTCTCATTTATACACTCACTCACTTTTTCCTTCTCTAATTCATCTGTTCATAATTCATTCACTCACTCACTCATTCATTCATTGACTCGTGTACTCACTCAGTTATTCAGTCATTCACTCATTGTTCATTGAACACACATCAGCGTGCCTATCCTGCACCCAGCCTAGAGAGGGCCCAACTCTGGCCCAATCCAGTCTACAGCATCAATGGGGAGGTGGCCAGGAGAGTAGTGAGGATGGGGGCACTCTGCAGGCACTGACCACCCCTGTCCCCTCCCCAGACACAGATGAGTGCTCTGTCGGGCATCCCTGTGGGGAAGGCACGTGCACCAATGTTATTGGAGGCTTCGAATGCACCTGCGCTGACGGCTTTGAGCCTGGCCCCATGATGACCTGTGAGGGTACGGTGTTTCTTCCAGGGCCTATGCTGGGTGCTGGGGGTGCCTGGGGACAGAAGAGAGGTCCCACAGGCAGATTCCTCCCAGCCAGCGCTTCCACTGACCTTCCCAGACATTGATGAGTGCTCCTGGAACCCCCTGCTCTGTGCCTTCCGCTGCCACAACACAGAGGGCTCCTACATGTGCACCTGCCCAGCTGGCTACGCCCTGCGGGAGGACAGATCCATGTGCCGAGGTGGGCCTCGGGAGGGCCGGTGGGCAGGTGGTGATGGTCAGGGCCTGGGGTTCTCCACCCTGGGCCCTGAGCCCCCATGCAGATAACCACGTGTCAGCATTGTGGGCCCCAGAGTCACACAGACCTAAGGATGATCTCAGCTCCTCCACTTCCTGTCTGTGACTCAGGGAATAAGAATCTGTGCCCCCAGGGGTTACAAGGAGCCATCAATGAGACAGGAGGGGATGCTGAGCCCAGCGATCCAGTGACCCGTTGATGCTGTAGCCCTGTAGCGATGGTGGTGGTAGTCAGCGACCATCCAGTCAGCCCCCAACTCGTGGTCCCCCTGTGCACAATGCAACAAAACAAAACGCTGCCTGGTCCTGCTCCATCTCCACCATCAGCCGGTTACCAGGCCGTGGTGCTCATAGCGTTTTTCATTTTTAATTCGTTTTATTCTTTGCTGTTGTTGAGAATACATGCGTTAGAACACACACAGGTTCAATGACATTGAATCAATGACAAGTCAATGACATTGATTAGGGCCAGAGCATTTTCATAGGCTGATTTTCGGGAATCAGTTGCCAGGCCTTTCTTCCTCATCCCTCTTAGTCTAGATGCTCTGCTGAAACCTGCTCAGCATCCCAGAAACACACGAGCCTCCACTGACAGGTGGGGGATGGCTGTGTGTGAGGGGCATTGGGTGGGAATTAAAGCTGGGCTTCCGGTGTGGAGGGCAAGAATTTTACCACTGAGCCATCATAGCCATCACTGAGCCTTCAGCAGATGCTCCGTTAGGAGGTGTGGTTCTGCTTTGTAGTGAATTCAAGGGCATTTGAGGCTGACCAGGAAGAGAAATGTGACAACTAGGTTAGCAGTGCACAGCGAGCTGTTTGCTGGGGACATTGCATTGACTTCACATTCAGGGTTGGGTGTGAGTCCATCACAGCAGGCGGTCATCCAGGGGCAAGGGGAGAAGGACATGAAAGCCCTGTGAAGGGGAGAAGGGAGAGAGGGAAGCTTACATGTCTTTGTGCCGTGTCCTGCAGAAAGTGGGAGGAGGGGCTAGGCCAGGGAGCTCAAAGACAGCAACACCTTAGGGCTCTTGTAACTGCAGGGCTTTATCTTAGCTAAGGCACCCTGGTAGCATGGTGGTTAAGCACTCAGCTGCTAACGGAAAGGTTGGAACCCGCCAGCTACACCACAGGAGAAGGATGTGCAGTCTGCTTCCATAAAGACTGACAGCCTTAGAAACCCTGTGGGGCAGTTCTGCTCCATCCTGGAGGATCCGTATCCCAATCAAATCCTCGACAGCAATGGATTTGGTTTGGGTTTTATCTCACCCAGGGCTGGCAGAGAGTCCCTGCGTAATTGGTAGTTCAAGTCCACCCAAAGGCACCTCGAGAGAAAGTCTGTCAATCTGCTTCACAAGCAGCCACTCCCCATGGCTCCGCTTTCAGCCAAAAAATTGGCAGGCCTATAGTGCCTAAGGCATGTGACTGCTAACCAGAAAGCTGGCGGTTCAAACCCACCAGCCACTCCTCAGAAGGAAGGTTGGATAATCTACTTCCATAATGATACTGCCTCGGAAACCCAAGGAGGGGTCGCTCTGAGTCGGAGACAACTCAACAGCAGTGGGGTGTTTTTTTCTGTTGTGATTTGGGTGAAAGTTTACAGGGCAAATTCACTTTCCATACAGCAGTTCACACACACGTTATCTCATGACATTAACTACAATTTACCCCAATGCAACAGTTCCCCTCCCACTTCCTCCCGAGAGTTACATCTTCCCTGTGTCCATCCCTCCATGCACTCCTGCCCCCTGAGCTGTCTCCTGGTGCATAAACAGCCCTGCTTTCTCTCCAAGGAGTGTATCTACCTCAGGTACATGTTCAACTCCCATGCCTGTCTTTCGATTGGCTGGAAGCCACAGGTGTGGGTTCAATTCCAGACCTGCAGGGCAGCTAGGGGCCATAGTCTCAGTGGTTCCACCAGGTAGAGACGTTTTTTATTGCTACAACTTGATGGGAAGGAGGTACTCCTGGCATCTGGTGATGAGAGACCCGGAATGCTGCTCAACATCCTACAGTACACAGGATGCTCCCTGTCGACAAAAAGTAATGTGACCCTAGGAGCTCTGGTGGCGTCGCACCTAAGGCATTTGACTGCTAACCAGACGGCTGGCAGTTCAAACCCACCAGCTACTCTTCGATAGGAAGACTGGGCAATCTACTTCCATAGAGACACTACCTTGGAAACCCAAGGAGGGGTCGCTAAGAGTTGGAGACGACTTCACAGTGAGTTTGGTTTTGGTTTTTTTAATGTCCAGAGAAGGAGCCTTCATGATGCAACTGTTAAGCACTTGGCTGCTAACCAAAAGGTCAGTGGTTCAAACCCACCCAGGGGCTCCATGAGAGAAAGAGTTGATGATCTGCTCTTGTAAAGATGACAGCCTAGAGAACCCTTTGAGCCAGTCCAACTCTGTCCCATGTGGTCACCATGAGTTGGAATTGACTCAAGGGCACCCAGCAGCACCAATGTCAATAGACGAGTCCCTGGATCATGCAAATGATCAGGCGTGCGACTGCTACACGAAAGGTTGGGAGCTTGAGTCTACTCAGAGGTGCTCAGAAGAAAGACCTGGCAGTCTGCTTTGGAAAGGTCACAGCCATGGAAACCCTGCAGAGCACAGTTCTACCCTGCACATGTGGGGTTGCAGGAGTCGGGGTCGACTCATCGGCCACTGGTTTGGTTCACTAGGTGGAGAAGTCCTAGGACAAGAAACCTTCAAGGGCTGTTTCTGGTCCCATGTTCCAGGGGCCATGGGGAAGGCCACACAGACTCAGGTCAAGGATGACCCCAGGCCCCAGCGTGGGCAGGGGATGTGGCATTTGGGGCAGTCCTGATCCTTTTGGCTCCGGGGTGCCCGAGGTCTGGGTTAGGCTGGGGTAGGTCTGGTGACTGCCTTCTCAGAAGTGGGATCCAGGTCCTCACAGCCCGGGCCACCATGCACTCATCACTGTCCACAGACGTGGATGAGTGTGCTGATGGCCAGCAGGACTGCTACGCCCGTGGCATGATGTGCAAGAACCTCATTGGGACCTTCGCATGTGTCTGCCCGCCGGGCATGCGGCCCCAGCCCAGCTCCGGCGAGGGCTGCTCAGGTACATACAGTGGGGATGGGGCTTCAGGGGGCCAGGGATCTTCACGAAGTGGGGAGGTCAGGGCAATGGGGGCCAGCAGGCAGACCAGAGGAAGACCTTTCATGGACTCTGAGTCCCACCAGCCTGCCTCTCCTCCCCACCACCTGGCTTCCCCTCCAGATGAGGATGAATGCTTCACCCAGCCCGGCCTCTGTGCCCCTGGCCGCTGTGTCAACACCGTGGGAAGCTACCGCTGTGACTGTGACAACGGCTTCCAGCCCAGCCCCTCCCTCACTGAGTGCCGGGGTGAGCATGGCCAGGCTCGGGGCGCAGGAAGGGATGGGGTCGGGGCACCAAGAGGGCGTCAAGGGGGTGCTGAGCTCAGCTGGACACACATCTCCATCACCCCCCTTCATCCTATCAGTCACATACCTTGTAAGAGCTGACTGTGCCCCACCCTGGTGACTCCTCTAACCCCAGGAACAGCCTCTCCCCACACCCACAGCTTCCTGGGGCTAAACCCGTGGCCATTGCTCGGCACTTGTCAGTCCTCCCATATCAGTCCTTATCAAGGTCCACTCTCCCCTCCAACCTCAGTGCAGCCTCCACCCCAACAGTTGCAGCCACCATGTTGGTTGTCAGACCTGTGCGTCCAGCTGCCTCCTGGACGCTCCTAGCCCCTAGACATGGCTTACCCCAAAGCAAGCTCAGCATTTGAGCCTAGCACTCCCAGACACCCAAGTAGCCGCCTGGGAGTCACGGTGGTCTCTGTCTTGCCCTGAAGTCCAGTGTCCAAGTCTGGCCCCCCAGCTCCCCCGCATCCCTCCACCTCTCCCCGATGTCACCCACACCCTGTGCTGCCCTGGACCCCCTGTTACCTATGAGGTGAGAGCGTGGCCACACTTTGTCCCCAGGAAGACGTCGACCTCCGCGCCCTGGGGCTTTTTGTCCTTCACTCTGGGTCCGCAGCTCCTGCCACATCCCTGCTCACAGGAGACATTTAGCGGTATCAGGCACGCGGTGACTGGGACAATTCCACCCTGTGCACACTCACAGTGCGTCATCCAAGGCATTTAGAGCCTACAGGGCGTGGGTGCTCGGTGGCACAGTCCTCACGCCCCCGTCACCCCCTCCCTCGTTCTCTGCAGACACCCGGCGTGGTTCCTGCTTCTCTGAGGTGCTGCAGGGCGTGTGCCCAGCGCCATCAAGCAACGGTGAGGCAGTCGGCAGGGCAGAATGCTGCTGTGCTGGGGGCCGTGGCTGGGGCCCCCACTGTGAGCTCTGTCCCCTGCCCGGCACCTCCACCTACAGGAAGCTGTGTCCCCATGGCTCAGGCTACACCGCTGAGGGCCGAGGTGGGTGCCCATGCCTACCCTGGAGCTGGGATGGGAGACTTTGGTCACAATTGAATGTCTGCTCTCGATGCTATTAGCATGTGCATGCTGATGTACCTGTGTGAACTCACAGTGAGTGTGTGTCTCTGTGTTAGTGGACGTCTGGACCCATAGGTTTGCTCTTTGTGCCTGTGTGGATTCGGTAGTATGTGTGTGTGTGTCAGACTGTAGCAGGTGTGTGAACCAATGAATGTATGTGTATGTGTTCTATGTGTGGGAGCTTGTTAAAAAGCATGTCTGTGTATTGGTGAGTGTGACATCCTGGGAGCCAGCGTGTGTTGTGTGTGTGGGAGCTTGTGAATCAGTGTGTCTATGTGTCAGTGAGCATGTGAAGGTGCATGAGCTGTGTGTTCTCTGCAAACTTACTGAGTATATGCTAGTCAGTGTGTTAAAAAACTGTGTCAATGTATGTGAGCTTCTTAGCATGTGGAAACGTGTGAGCTATTGTGCATGCTCTTTGTGAACTTGTTAATGGCATGTGTCTGTGCCTGTAAGCAAGTGTAAACATGTGAGGTAGTATGTTCCCTGTGTGCATGAACTTGTTAAGGAGTGTGTGTACTAGTGAGTGTGCCAACACATGTGAGCCCATGTGTTCTCTGTGTGCACAAGTTTGATGATGAGTGTCTGCTGGGGAGCATGGAAAAGCATGTGGGCCACCTGGTGTTCTCTAGTGACTTTCCTAACAATCACATGGCTATGTTGTACCAGGTGTTTCATAGCGTGTGAGCTGGTGTGTGCTCTCTGTACGTAAGCTTGTTAGTGAGCATGTGTGTGCTGTTTGTGTGTGAGCTTGTTAGTGAGTGTGTGTGTGCTGAGTGTAGGCTGCTGTGTGCACTCCGTGTGTGAGCTTGTTCATGTGTGTGCTGAGTATGAGCTGGTGTGTGCTGTCTCTGAGCTTGTTCACGTGTGTGTGCTGAATGTTAGCTGGTGTATGCTCTCCATGTGTGAGCTTGTTTGTGTGTGTGTGCTGAGTGTGAGCTGGTGTGTGCTGTCTCTGTGAGCTTGTTCACGTGTATGAGCTGGTGTATGCTTTCCCATGTGTGAGCTTGTTTGTGTGTGTGTGCTGTGAGCTGGTATGTGCAAGCATGTGTCTGTTCTGTGAGCTGGTGTGTGCTCTCTGAGCTTGTTCATGTATGTGTGCACGCTGAGTGAGCTGGTGTGTGCTGTCTGTGTGTGAGCTTGTTAATGAGTGTGTCTGTGTGCTGAGTGTGGGCTGCTGTGTGCGCTCCGTGTGTGAGCTTGTTCACGTGTGTGTACTGAGTATGAGCTGTGTGTGCTCTCTCTGTGCAAGCTTAGTGAGCGTGTGTGTGCTGAGCATGTGAGCCAGTGTGTGTTCTCCGTGTGTGCAGTGACATGAGTGCATCTCCTCGAGTGTGTGCATGAAGGAGAGACTGGTCATCCCAAGTGAGCAGCAGTGACATCATGGAGCTGGGAGGACGTGCCTTTGTGGGTGTGTGTCCAGGGAGCAGAAGAGCTGTGAGTTGCTGTGCCCTGTCGTTCTATATGGGCATCAAAAACGTTGGGTGTATCTGCATCCATGAGTGTGTGGTGCCCAGGGCAGTGTGGCTGGAGAGGTGGTGGGCCAGGTGTTTGCCTGTCTCACACCCCCCAGGCACACTCAGTGCTCAGGAGGGGTTCTTCATTGGTCCACATGAGGCTAGGCTGCCCCTGGGCAGAAGGCTAGTGGACAGAAGGCAGCAGGCTGACCCTGCCTGTCCCCAGATGTGGACGAGTGTCGTGTGCTGGCCCACCTCTGCCCCCACGGCGAGTGCATCAACAGCCTTGGCTCCTTCCACTGCCACTGCCAGGCGGGGTATGCAGCGGACACTGCCACCACAGCCTGCCTGGGTGAGCACTAGTTCCCACACCCTGGGCCCTGCCCAACTCATCCATACCCCAGCTGCCCTGCCCTTCTCTGGGGCCTCCCACTTAGCAAGGCTTGGTTTTCCTTTGGAAGTCTCTCAGTGGGGCACATGGTTAACACACTCCGCTGCTAACTGAAAGGTTGGTGGTTCGATCCTGCCCAGAGGCCTCTCAGAAGAAAGGCCTGAAGACCTGCTTCTGAAAGATCAGACCTTGAAAACCCCGTGGAACCGTTCTACACTGCCCCTTAGGGGTCACCATGAGTTGGAATTGACTCGGCATCAACTGGTTTTGTTTCTGGTTTTCACTTACCAAGTGGTGCCCACACCATAATGAAAATCGAGAAACCAGAGAGAAGCCAAGTGTCCCCTGGTCCATCCCCACCCCACCCAACCCCCGCCCCAGTTTGGGTTACTTTCCCCCTGTTGCTTTGTACCTCCTGGGACTGACAGGTACGTGTGTGAAACCAGCTGCGCTTGGCTGACTCATGGTGGCCCCGTGTGTCAAAGCAGAACTGCCTCCACAGGGTTTTCGGTGGTTGATTTTTCTGCAGGAGCTCACCAGGCCTTTCTTCCAAGGCATCTCTGGGTGGATTCAAATCTCCAGTCTTAACATTAGCAGCCAGGCAGGTTAACCGGTTATGCCACCCAGGGAGCACTACGTTGGGTAACCAAAAACCAAACTCAGTGGTTTAGAGTCTCGTCGGATCCGACTCATAGCAACCCCTCCTTTGGTTTCCGAGGCAGTATCACTACGGAAGTAGATTGCCCCATCTTCCTTCCGAGGAGTGGCTGGTGGGTTTGAACCGCCAGCCTTCTGGTTAACAGTCAAGTGCCTTAGGCACTATGCTACCAGAGCAGGTGGGTAGTCATTCATGTAGTCAGAGGTCACAGATAGGGCCCAAGGGCTGTTTTTGTGACTAAAGCTTTATTGGCACACACCCACACCTATTGTTTGACGTTGCCTACAGCAGTGTTTGCAGAGTTAGGGCTTTACAGTTGGTCCTGTGGCCCACACAGGTGAAAATATTTACTGTCTGGCTCCTTACAAAAGGAGATGCTTAGCTGCTAACCAAGCAGTTGGTGGTTGGAACTCACCAGCTATTCCTTGGGACATAGATGTGGCTGGCACTCTGCTTCGTGAGGATTACAGCCTTGGAATCCCTGTGGGGCAGGTCTACTCTGTCCTATAGGGTCACTGTGAGTCAGAATTGACTCAACGACAGCATATTTGGTCTTTACCAAAAGGGTTTGGCAGTCCCTGGGGTGAGTCCCCAGATGCAGGATGGCCAGGGTCTGGGATGACCCAGGTCCCCAGGGAGTGGCCATCTGACACCCCTGCCCACCGCCACCCGCCTCTAGATGTGGATGAATGCAGCCAGACCCCCAAGCCATGTAGCTTCCTCTGTAAAAACACAGAGGGCAGCTTCCTGTGCGCCTGTCCCCGCGGCTACCTGCTGGAGGAGGACGGCAGGACCTGCAGAGGTGACGTGTCCCCCCCCATACCCTGAGAGGCCTCATCCCTGCCCCCCAGAGCTCTCCCCCCCCTTCCTGCACGGAGGCACTCTGGGAGTCGGGTGCCACCTCTCTGCCCTGAAGCGGCAGGAGTGGCCCGGGAGGTCTCCAGCCCCAGCCCCACCTGCCCTGAGCCAGCAGGCCCCGTCTGTACCACAGACCTGGATGAGTGCTCCTCCAAGCGGCACAACTGCCAGTTCCTCTGCGTCAACACCGTCGGTGCCTTCACCTGCCGCTGTCCCCCCGGCTTCACCCAGCGCCACCAGGCCTGCTTCGGTGAGTGCTCAGGCCCGGCACCCTTGAACTGCTGCTTGTTCAGCAGTTAAATATCAGGTGCCTGTGTTTGCCTCGCTTTGAGGACAGGGGTGATTAGAACACAGTCTTTGCCTCTCAACACTCACAGCCTGGTGGCATCTGGAACCTTGGGGAGTGCTCTTGGGGACCTAGGAGGTACACTCTCAGGTGACCCTGTGGCCTTGGCCCAGGACATTGACCCTCACCTGTGCCGTCTGTGCTATGGCCTCCCCACGGTGCTGGGAACATTCAGGGACTCACATAGTTCAAAGAGGAAGTTGGTTCAAAAACCAACGCTGCCAAACCACCTGTCACTGCCACTGCTTCCAAGTGTCTTGTGGTCCGAGGAGCCAAACCTCCCCTATTTGCTGAGCTCAGCTGGTATTCAGGCTCCCACTCACTTATTAAGTACTTACTATGTACCAGACAGTGCTCTAGATCTGAGATCGGCAAACTAGTCCTTGGGCCAAGTCAGGCCCCCTGTTTGCTTTTGTTAATAAAGTTTTATAGGCACATAGCCACACCCATTTGTTTATATATTATCCATAATTGCTTTCACACTACAACAGCAGAGTTACTAGTCGCTACAGAGATCCACAAAATCGATAACGTTTCCCGACAGGCCATTTACAGAAATGATTTCCTGATCCTTGCTCTGGACTCTGGGGATACTGCAATGAGCGAGAGAGTCCTTTACATAATTATGTGAATTGAATTCTCACAAAAACACAATGAGGACTGTAAAATGGTCCAGCTACTGTGGAAAAGAGTTTGGTGGTTGCTCAAAAAATGAAACACAGAATTATCCTCTGAGCCAGCAATTCCACTCCAAGATCTATACCCAAAAGACTTAAAAGCAAGGCCTCAGACAGGTTCATCCATGTTGATTGCAGCGCTCTTCACAGTCACCGAGAGATGGTAAGAACACAAGTGTCCCATCAACAGATGAGTGGGTAAATACAGTGTGGTCCATCATACAATGGAGTCTTAGCCATAAGGAGAAATGAAGTCCAGATACATGCTGTGACAGGGATACACCCTGAAAACATCATGTTGAATGAAATAAGTCAGACACGAAAGGGCAAATATTGTATGACTCCATTTGTATGAAGTACCTAAGGTAGGCAAATAGAGACAAGAAGTGGATAAGTGGTCACTGTGGGCTGGGGTAGTTGGGGGACGGGGAGTTAGTGCTTAGAGGGCACAGAGCTGCTATTTGCGGGGATGAGGAAGTTTTGGAAACAGACAGTGACAGTGTTGCACAATGTTGTGAGTGGTTGATGCCAGTGGTTGGTGCAATTGAAAATGCTTCCAGTGGCCAACGTTGTGTTCTGTGTATTTGACCACAATTAAAAAAAAAGAGAGAGACAGGTATCGTCATTTCCGTGTAACACTGCAGCTGAGGAAACAGAGCCAGAGAGGATAGGTAGGTGGGCCAGGGTCACCAAGCTTTTAGATGATGGGGCTGAGATTCAGCCTGAGGCAGTCGACCCGCAGAGGCTGTATTTATAACCACTCTGTTACCCACTGCCTGCTCTTTAAAGGAGAAAAAAAAAAAATTGCTATCAAGTTGATTCCAGCTCGTGGTTACCCCATGTGTTGCAGAATAGAGCAGCCCCATGGGGTTTTCTAGGCTTTAATCTTTATGGACACAGATTGCCAGGCCTTTCTTTCATGGTGCTGCTAAGTGAGGTTGAACTGCCGATCTTTAGATTAATAGGTGAATGCAAACCATTTGCACCACCAAGTCCTTTGTGTGTATTATCTCAATAAATGTGAACACGAATGTGAAGTGTCCATCACGGACCCCATTTCACAGAGGAGGACACTGAGGCACAGAGAAGTTAAGGGACTTGCCCAAAGCCACACAGTGGATCCACTGGTAGGACCAGAATTAAGGTGCCCAACATTAACCCCTAACCACAAGGCTGCCCTGCCTGTTTTCTGTCCTCTGCAGACAATGATGAGTGCATCGCCCAACCTGGCCCCTGTGGCACCCTTGGGCACTGCCACAATACCCCAGGGAGCTTCCGCTGTGAGTGCTATCGAGGCTTCACCCTGGACAGCTCTGGCCAAGGCTGTGAAGGTAGCACTATGCTGTGAGAGGGCTCCAGGAGGGCTGAGAGGGGGACCAGTGAGGAGTCAGGGCTGCAGAGCAAGGCTGACCAAGTGCTTTTCTCAGGGAGTGGTGGCCTGGAGTGCTCAGTTGAGGAAGATCCTGAGAACATGGCTCTCAGCTTTGGGAAAGAGTGCTGCACTCGATTAGTGATGTCTGCCATGGGTGCAGCAGTGGAATATGTGGGTGTGTTTGCTATATCTTTGACACCTTTGCCCTCTTCTCCATCTCTCAGATGTAAATGAGTGTAACGGCCCCCACCGGTGCCAACATGGCTGCCAGAACAAACTAGGAGGCTATCGTTGTGGCTGTCCCCAAGGCTTCACCCAGCATTCCCAGTGGGACCAGTGTGTGGGTAAGTGGCAGAGGCTGGGAGGAAGCCAGTCCTCGGCCAGAATCCGCCCAGAGCTGGAAACTAGAAACCACCTCTCTGTAGGATGTTGTCATTAACATAGCTATCTAAAGGTCAAACAAGCTGCCCTGGAAGATAGTGAGTTCCTCGTCAATGGGAAGGCTGGAGTGTGGGGGCCTGCAGGGTAAGGCTAGCCAAGTGCATCTCTTAGAGATTGGTGGCCTGGAATGCTCAGTTGAGAAAGATCCTGAGACCTGAGCTCTGAGCTTTGGGAAAGAGTGCTGTAATCAATTAGTGATGTCTGCGATGGGTGCAGTAATGGAGTGTGTGGGTGTGTTTGCTACATCTTTGCCATGGCTGGTGTAGAGGACCTAGGTTCAAGGGGCTGGCCTTCCAACCCACACCTCTCGCTTCTCTCTGCTTCTCTAGGCCCTCCTAACCCTTTACCCTAGTAGGGCCTGCTCTCCTGCAACCTCTCCTCAACCCTCACCCTCGACCTCCCCCACTCTGGACATCGCTTCCAGCCCTGCCTGAACACTCTCTCCTCCTGCAGCCTCTGTGATGCAACTGTCCCCTTCTCCTTCCACCTCACAGACACTGCCTTCTCCATCCGCTTTCCAGCCCCTCCTTCTGCCCTCCATGGTGGGTCTCCAGCTAAGTTCTCTGTATTTTCCCATGTGGCAATTGTCCCCTTTGAATCTTGCATGCCTTTGATCTCAGCTGTCAATCCCTCAGGCTGCTTTCAGCCTGTCTTCTCCTCCACATACTTACTCATTCATTCCTTTAGCTATTGCTTCCCAAGGGCCTGCCTTACACTAGGTCCTGGCGATACAGAAGTGAGCAAAGCAGACCTCTTGCCTGCCCTTGAGTTGCTCAGTCTAGCTGGGGACACAGGCATTCATTAGAGCAGCTGTTCTCACCTAGGTGTGATTCTGCCCCCCAGGGGACATTTGGAATGTATGGAGACATGTTGGTTGTCACAACCGGGAGGGGGTACTGGCATCAAATTGGTGGAGACCAGAGATGCTGCTCAATATTCAGCATGCACAGGACGCCCCCTACACAACACACACACACACAACAACTACCCACCCTGAATGTCAGTAGCCCTGAGGGTGGAAGACTGTGTCCTAGGTCATTTTACAACTTAGGATTTTTGGGACGTTTTGAAAAATGCTTCAACAGAGAACCACATGTAGTAGAGGGTAACTGGCATGAAGCTGTATGAAGGGTGGACCACGTCTAGTCTGACAGGTCACAGTGAGTCTGCAGAGGCTTTGACATTGGACCTGTCTCTGAAGGGGAAGTAGGTGGGGACGCATTCCTGATGTAGGGTGGTGGGTGTGTGGAGACTTCCTTGCATCCCTGTCCTCTCCCGCTACCCGCAGACGAGAACGAATGTGTGCAGTCGCCCGTGGCCTGTGGGACTGCCACCTGCCACAACACGCTGGGCAGCTTCCACTGTGTCTGCCCCTCGGGCTTCAGCTTTGACCAGGCCCTCCGCAGCTGCCAGGACGTGGATGAGTGTGCGGGGAGGGGCGGCCCCTGCAGCTACGGTTGTGCCAACACCCCCGGTGGCTTCCTCTGCGGCTGCCCCCAAGGCTACTTCCGGGCTGGGCAGGGGTGAGAGGCACGGGAGTGGGGGAGAGTAGGGCAGACCCCCAGACCTCATGAGTGTACACACCTGGGCTGTGCACATGCTGAACCCTCCACCAGGAGAGCTACCTCTGCCTGTGCACACAGGCATGGACATGTGTGCAGAGAACTGGACATACAGAGGCTCTACAGCATCTGTACCTGTGCCCACAGCTCCTAATACCTGTGTACACACAGCTAACACCCCCTGACATGTAATTGTGTGGGTACATACTTCCCTGTAGTACACATGCATGTGCACACAGGTTCAAACAAGTGAGCATGAATATGTCTTCATCTGTGTGCATGCTGGCTTACACATGCCCACATCCCTAGGTACACTCACATGCCTTCATCCATCCCATTATTTGCACATGCACACATGTCATTATCCCTGTGTGCACCTGTCACACATCCCGGAGCACACTTAGGTTCACTCATACATCTCAGCATGCAAATGTGCACACACATGATCATCTCTGCATGTAGGCTCTCATACACACATCTTCAGGTACACTGACATACATCATACTGCCCAGTGTGCCAACATGCACACACATGCCTTCATCCCTGTGTGCATGCAGGCTCACACCTCTTCCAAGGTGTACGCAGCAACATGGACTCATGCCCATATCCCTGTTCACCTGCAGACACTTGTGTGCACATAGAGCCAATCAGGCATGTGTACAGAGCCACCTGTACATGCCCCCACCCCAAGCCGCCTGGTTCAGAGTGGTGTGTAGGGGCTGGCAGATGGGGGCACTGGCCAGAGAGACTCACCCAAGGTCTCCTGAAAGCCCACCCATCCTTTTCTGCCCCAGGCACTGTGTCTCTGGCCTGGGTTTCAACGCCGGACCCCAGGACGCTCCTGACAAGGAACTGCTGCTGTCACCCCAAGCCTGTTACGAGTGCAAAGTCAACAGCCTCTCCCCACGGGACCGGCCACGACGCAGCACCCACGGGGACCACCAGGTGTCACAGGGCTGCACTGGGCATGGGGCAGGGGTAGGGTAGCCAGGGGACGGGCCAAGGGATGGGATGGAGGCTGTGGGCCCAGCTGACCCGAGCCACCCTCGGGAAGCGCTCCAGACTCCATGTTGTCCCCCACTTCCTGGTTCCTGCTCAGACCTCGTGCACCTCCTCAGCCCTGGGGTTTTCCTACACACCCTGCCTTCTGCTCCTGGGGCGTCACGTACCTCCCACCAGACTCTAAGTAGGCGCCGATGGACAGGGCACCCTTCCATGATGCTGCAGTGCAAGAGCAATGCCCTGGTTCCCCAGCCCTGCCTGCACCCAGGGGGCCTTCCCCCTCACCTCCCTCGTAGGCCCTGCCCATAGGGTTTAGCGCCCCCAGGGGCCAGAGCAGCCAGCCAGCCATCCCCATGCTCTTCCTTCCCCTGTCTGCTCCTCCCCACCGCTCTGCCCACTCCACCTCCCTCGCTGAGCCTGTCTCCCATCCCCTATGGCAGGGAGCCCTGGTTGCTCAAGTGTTTAGTGTTCAGCTGTAACTGAAAGGATGGTGGTTCAGACCTACTCGGGAGTGCCATGGGAGAAAGGCCTGGCACTCAGCTTCTGAAAGATCATGACCCTGAAAACTCTATAGGACAGTTCTACTCAGCACACACGGGGTCTCCATGAGTTGGAATCCACTCGATGGCATCTAGGAGCTCTGGTAGCGTAATGCCTAACGCACTTGACTGCTAATCAGAAGGCTAGCGGTTCAAACCCACCAGCCACTCCTCCAAAGGAAGGTTGGGCAATCTACTTCCATAGTGATACTGCCTTGGAAACCCAAAGAGGGGTCACTATGAGTCGGGTCTGACTCGACAGCGCACAACAACAACAACAACGATGGCATCTAACAAGGACAGCAGCCCTCGCAGCAGCCCTAGGCCATCGTGACAAATGTCTAGCACGAAGGCCAGTTCCCAGCCTGCTTTTGGGAAGCGAGTCCATTCTCTGGGGCCCCCAGGAGAGACTCCCTTTAGAAGCACCCATACAGCTACTGGCATATCCAGCCCTGCAGCCCCTTCCTGCACCCGTGAGACTCCCAGAGCTGAGCTGAACCTGCCTCGTCTCAAATACAGAGGCGCCCTCCCCACGGCCCCCAGCCCTGCATGAGATCAGAACCTGCCTGCGGCTACTCACAGCTGCCCTCTCTTGCCAGTCTAGCTGGGACCCTTACACCCCAAGGTTTGGTGAGAGGGCAGTTTTACCACAAATTCAGCTGGGTTTCCTCTCAACCAGAGAGTCCCTGAGGCCACCACCATCATCACCCAAGTGATGTGAAAGCTAAGCATTTATTAAGCACCAGCTGGATGCAGACAGTGCCAGACACTTTGCATCCATGGTCTCTCAGTCCTTACGGCAGCCCTGGGAGCTGTTGTTGTGAGGTGCCTTCGAGTTGGCCCCTGGGTCACGGAACCCCACACACAACAGACACAATGCTGCACGGTCCTGTGCTGTCCCCATGACCGGTTGCAGATCTGGCCCACCGGGTTTTCACTGGAGGATTTTGGGGAGTTGATCGCCAGATCTCCCCAGTCCGTCTTTCTTTGGAAGCCCCACTGAAACCTGTTGAGCATCATAGTGATGAGCAGACCTCCCCTGACAGATGGGGGGGTGGCTGGACATGAGGTGTATCGGCCGGGAATGGAGCCCAGGTGTCACATGTAGAGGGCAGGAATTCTACCACTGTCCTCCTGGTGGTGGGGGGAGATGCCACTATTGCCCCCCATTTCACAGGTGGGGAAGTTGAGGTTCAGAGAGGGTAGATCATGTGCCCATGCTGCAGGCACCAGGTGCAGGGATTCCATGGCTACCCCACATGGCCTGTCCTTTACAGGTGGCCTTGGCCTTCACAGCCTGGCATCTCAGGCCCCTCTGAGGTCATAACCTTCCAGGGCCATCCCTTTACCAGTTGCCTTTGAGTCAGTTCCAACCATGGAGAGCCTGTGTGTATCAGAGTAAAACTGTGCTCCCTAGAGTTTTCAGAAGTAGATCACCAGGTCTTTCCTCTGAGGCACCATTGGGTGTACTCAAACAGCCAGCCTTTCAGTTAGCAACAGACTACGTTAACCATTTGCACCACCCAGGGATTAAAAATACCGTCACTGAGCACAGGGCTGTTACCCAGAACTCAACCCTCTACAGACATCTCCTGGGACCAGATTCCTTCACTCCACAAATTTTATTAAACACCTACTATGTGCTGGGCACTGTAATGGCCGTGGGAGATACAGCAGTAAGAAGAAAGACAAAAGTCCCTACCCTGATGTTCTAGCAGGGGAGACAGTTAAGAAATAAATTAAGTAAAAGAATCTATTTTTTAACACATGATAAGTACACTGTTGTTGTTATGTGCCGTCGAGTCATACCCGACTCATAGCGACCCCTTCTTGGGTTTCCGAGGCAATATCACTACGGAAGTAGATTACCCCTAACCTTCCTTCCAAGGAGTGGCTGGTGGGTTTGAACCTCCAGCCTTCTGGTTAGCAGTCAAGTGCCTTAGGCACCTGGTAAATACTATAGGGAAAATGAAGGCAGAAGTGGGATAAGAGTGTTAGGTCTACAAGGCTTGCTATATTAGAATAATCAAATGTGAGCCTGTCACTTTGCCCTCTTTTACTCTCTAGGTTTCTGTTTTTTGGGGTTTTTCAACCTTGCTGGAAAAACAGACCGTGTATATGACCCCGTGTATATACTGTGTATATGACCCCGTGTTATGTGCCTTCAGGTCAGTTCTGACTCATAGCTACCCTAGAGGACAGAGTAGAACTGCCCCATAAGGTTTCCAAGGCTGTAATCTTTAAGAAAGCACACTGCCACATTTTTCTCCCACAGAGCAGATGGTGGGTTTGAACTTGTGACTCTTAGGTTACCAGCAAGGGCTTAACCATTGTGCCATCAGGGCTCCTGTATATTACTCTATTAAAAAGCCACCAAACTCACTACTGTTGAGTCAATCCTGACTCATAGCGACCCCTCCTTCGGTTTCCAAGGCAATATCACTATGGAAGTAGATTGCCCAATCTTCCTTCCAAGGAGTGGCTGGTGGGTTTGAACCGCCAGACTTCTGGTCAGCAGTCAAATGCCTTAGGCACTATACCACCAGAGGGACTATATTACTCTATAGCTGTCACTATTTTCTGTAAGCTTCAGAAGGGCAGAGAGTCCTGTTGCTTGTTGCTGTATCAACAGCCCTTGGTACTCAATAAGGGTGAATGGAGTGGTTATCAGAGGATGGGTCCTGGGATTGACAGCCAATTTGGGCAGAAGATGGCTATGCCTATGCCTTTGCCTGTAATAACAACTGATTGCCAGCAGGTGTCAGTAAGAGCACGTGTCAGCAGCACTCCTAGGAAGCGCTGAAATCTCCGGAACTGAGAACAGGAATAGCTTTCTTTAATCAATAGTAAAACACTCTACTGGCATGTAAATTAGGCAAAATAAAACACAGCACTGCCCAGAGCAAAGAAGAAAACATAAATAAACTGTGATTGTCTACGTCACCCAACCCTGGGAGCCTGCCACTGGAGCTCACAGGCTCATTCAGGGCCCTGTCCAGCTGCCAGGATCAGGAAGGCGCTCAGAGGAGCTCAGATAAAGAGGGGTTTGTCATCTGCACACAGGGGCCTCTCAGGAGCCCAGATAAGGAAGCACAAAAAACCGGAAAGCTACTGGGCATCTGTTCTGCCTGGGGCTGGCTCTCTCCTCTCTAGGCAGCTCCGAAGTTTTCCCTGAGGCTGGTTTCCACTGCAAGGCCTGTGGCCATACTAGCTTCCTCGGGTGCCACTAAGTGACCTTAGGGCTCCAGAATCAGACACCATCTGACTAATTACCCCTGTCTGGCTCTCTGAGGCCAAATCCTTTATTCCCTTGGCTGGGCTGACAGAGGTGAGACAAGTCTCTTCAGCCTAAAGGAGGGGTCTGGATTCAGCTTGTCACCTTTCCCAGAAGTGATCACCAGGGAACCAATGTAGGCCTTCCTGCTTGTCTGTCCAGACTGACCATCAGCCTGGTGGATAGAAGCCTTAAGGGGAAGCCAAGTGCAGAGCTGTACAAAATATTTTCCTCCAGTTTTTTAAAAAAATCAGTTGCCTGGGATCTGACTCCAACTCACAGTGACTTCCTGTGTCAGAGCAGAACCGCTCTCTGTAGGGTTTTCAATGGCTGATGTTTTTGGAAGCAGATCACCCACCAGGCCTTTCTTCCGAAGTGCTTCTTATACACCTGTCTATAGTTCGGCTGGAAGCCATGGAAGTGAGTTCAATTCCAGGCCTAAAAGGTGACTCTGGGCCATAGTCTCAGGGGTTTCAGCAGGATCTATCAGACCGTAAGCCTGGCCTTTTTTATGATTTTGAGTTTTGTTCCACACTTTTCTCCCACTTTATTCAGAATCTCCTATTTTGATCCCTTTCTGAGTGGTTGACAGTGGTAACTGGACACCATTAGTTCTGGTCTCAGGGTCATATAGGCTGAGGATCGCATGGTGTGCTAGTCCCTTGGATTGTTTCTGAGTGTCTTTGATTTTCTTCATTCTTCTTTGCTCTGGATGAGGAGTGACCATCTTAGATGGCAGTTTTTAAGCTTTTTAAGATGCCAGTCACTACTCACCAAAGTAGGATGTAGTACTATGTTTTTGCGTAGTTTATGCCAGTTGAACTTGATGTCCTCTGTGACTATAGTCCCAAGAGCCTGTGGGCCCAGTGACTTATTCCCTCAGGGTGTTTGGCTGTAGCTAAGAAGTTATCATAACTTTGCCCTGTTATTTTTATTTTATATATATATGGACATTCTTATAGTGCATAGAAATACATATGTAGAAATATTGTCTACTAAACTTATATATGGTCATGGGTATATTCTCTTTTGCCTAGACATACTGATCATTCAGCCTGTCTACCTGTGTATCCACCCATAGATTAATGTTTGTTATCACTGATAATGCAGTGTTGTGTGTATAAAAGTGTTTATCTTTGTTTGTACTTCTTGTGTCTCTCCATGTCTTCCTTCCTTTTCCTTAGTGTTACTGTATTGGTCACTCCCTTTTGGTACATTGCCCTTCTCTTCACCCAAATCAATACTTATTTCTTACTTATCTAGCAGTTTTCCCTCTACATTCTTTTTTATGGTGCATACTATTCCACCCTGTCGAGCAATGGTAATTGCTTTACTGTGTCCTGTCAGGGCTTTTCAGCTGTTTCCAATCTTTTGCTGTTAAAAACACAACTGGCTGATGTCCTATCAAAACTGGTTGCCATCTTTGATAGGCTCTGACTTGCATGTTAGAGTAGAACTATGCTCCATAAACCCACCAGCCACTCCTTGGAAGGAAGGTTGGGCAATCCTGCTTCTGTAATGATACTGCCTCGGAAACCCAAGGAGGGGTTGCTATGAGTTGGGGCCGACTCAAGGGCACATAACAACAACAACAACATGCTCCATAAAGCTTTCTATGGCTGTGACCTTTCGGAGGTAGATTGCCAGGCCTTCCTTCCAAAGTGCCTCAAACCTTGGGTGGACTCAAACCTCTAACCTTTCATTAGCGGTGAAGCATATTCACCACTAGCAACAACTGCTCTCCCTTCCCAGGGACTCTTACCCATTACATCCCACTTCTCCAGGTCTCTGACCAGTCACTTGATCTGTCTTCCCAGGTGAGCCTGGCCAGCCTGGACTCAGAGGCCCCCCTGACCTTGGGCCTGAACCTCTCGTGCCTGGGCCATGGTGAGCACATTCTGGAGCTGCGGCCAGCACTGGAACGTCCAGAAGGCCACGTCCGCTATGTCATTGCCCGTGGCAACAAGCAGGGCTTCTTCCATATGCATTACCTCGGAGGCCTCAGCGCCCTGCGTCTGGGCCATCGGAGGCCGGCGCCTGGGACCTACTGGCTCGAGGTGGTGAGCGTGGCCAGGCCCTGGAGCACGAGGCCGGAGGGGAGGCCAGAGCCAGAGGCCCGGGCCTTGCGGCTGAAGGTGCAGCTGCAGCTGCTCTAGGTGGGAGAAGCCCCACCTTCTGCCTGGTCCAGGCCCCTTTCCGGCCACGACGTGGGCACTACCTGACCTGCCTCTTTCCCCGGGGCTTTCCGGGGGACTCTGACATCACTGCTCATCACAGACCCTGAGTCTGAGCCCTGCCTCAATGGGTCCCCATGCCACGGTCCAGTCTAGAGGTCAGAGGTTCTGGTGCTGCGTGGGATTAGTCACCAGCCACAGGGGCAGACCAGGTCGGACCCCAGAACTCAGGAGGATTGAGAGTCTATGACCTCAGGGTGAGCCCAGCCTCTGCGACAACCCAGGGGTCCCCAGCCCCTCCATCTTCCCTGAAGAATTCTGGGAAATAGCCCACACCCTCCAGCCCAACCAACACCCTCAACAGTCAGGGCCGAGGGGGCCCCGGGTTCACTGTACCCGGGGCCAGGCTGTTTCAACTTCTGCACTGCACTGCAGCTTGCCCCACAGGGCTGGCAGACACAGGCGGGCCACTGGGGGGAGCAGACGGGACACTTCCTTAGGATCAGGGCCTGTGGGGCCCTGGCCAGCATTGGGGACACATATTGTACCCCTGTTTGTCCCCCAGAGAGGCTGGGCTGGGGTTCTGAGGATGATTTTATATCAGAAACAAAGACAACAATAAAGTTATTTTGGGTTACTGCCGTCTCCTGGGTACTTCTTACAGTATGTAAGCGCTGTCCTGGGCTGGCGAGGCACAGGAGAGTCAAAGCCCCAGTTCAGTAGCCTGTGGCCCCAGAAGGGCTGAAGCTTCGGAAAGGGAGGAGCTTCACCCCAGCTCCCAGGAGGAAGCTTGGGCACATGACCAGAGCAGGCTGTGAGTTGTGACCATGGAGACCCTCCTCGGTTCACTAATGATGACAACAGCTATGGCTTCCTGATCATGTACCAGGCACCACTCTGAGTGTTTCCCAGTGACCCAGTCATTTCGCCCTCACTACATTCCCATGAAGGAGCTCTGGTGGTGCTGTGGTTAAAGCCTTTGGTTGCTAACCAAAAGGTCAGCAGTTTGAACCCACCAGTTGTTCTGAGGGAGAAATATGAGGCAGTCTGCTTCTGTAAAGAGTTACAGCCTTGGAAGCCCTATGGGGCAGTTCTACCCTGTCCTAAAGGGTCACTATGAGTCAGAATCAACTCGATGGCAGTGGGGTTATAGCCATGAGGAATCCTTCTGGGTGGTGCAAACAGTTAAGATGTGCTCAGCTGCTAACCAGAAGGTCGGCAGTTTGAACCCAACCAGAGGCACCTCAGAACAAAGACCGGGTGATCTGTTCCAAAAATCAGCCACCGAGAACCCTGTGGAGCACAGTTCTGCTCTCCCACACGTGAGGTCATGAGTCAGCCCCAGGGTGAGGCAGCGGTGGTATGGTGATAGAATTCTCACCTTGCACACAGGAGACCGGGGTTCGATTCCCGGCCAATGCATTTCATGTGCATACACCACCCATCTGTCAGTGGAGGCTTGTACGTTGCTAGGATACTGGATAGGTCTTCGTGGAGCTTCCAGACTAAGATGGACTAGGGAGAAAGACCTGGTAATCCACTTCCAGGAACCAGTGAAAACCCTGTGGATCCAAGAGTCTGATCCCCACTGATGGGATGACACAGGACCAGGCCGTGTTTTGTTCCATTGTTGCCATGGGGTCGCCATGAGTCGGCTGATTCAATGGCCCCTGATGACACACCTGCATTAGATAGATGCTGTTATCCTCCCCACTGAGTCTTAGAGACATCAAGACAATTCCCAGGGTCACTCCAGCTGGTAGAGTGTTCCGATTCCCTAGTGCCGCTCTGACAGGAATATACCACAAATGGAATGGCCTTAACGAATAGGAGTTTATTCTTACAATTTGGAGGATTTAAGTCCAAGTTCCAGGTGCCAGGCTCTAGGAGCTGGGTGAAAGCCCCTCAACCTAGGGGTCCAGCTCTGCCTCCTGCTCCCGGCCCACTGGAGCTAGAGGCATTTCTTCACTCAGACAGCTGCTGGCTGCTGAGGCTGAGAAGCCCCAAGGTTGACAAGTCAAAAGGCACAGTCCCGATGTTACCAATCCATATGGCAGGCCATTAACTTAAGTCCATTGTAAGTCCCAAGGTCGGCAGAGCATAGCAGGCTGCTGAGCAACGACACGGTTACATGCAGGGTCCAAGTGTGCCATAGGCTAGAGACCATTCCCAAGGCTTCTCCTTATATACAGGAAGCAGACCACATCCCAAAGGTAGCTACTCAGCTGCTCCCAGTAGATTCCACCATGGAGTTGATTACCAGTCTCATCATGGGGAATACTACATCCAGCTGCCCAGCCACTCAACCAGGCCTAGCCAAGTTGACATACAAACATAACCATCACCTACAGCCAGGGTCAGGCTCAGGCAGTCACACCAGCATTTGTTCCTTAACCGCCATGCCATCCTTCTTGGCTCCAGTTTAGACCAGGTCTCACAGATGTCCTGCAGGGTCCCCAGCTCCATGACCGGGATACTCACACTGCTAACAGCTAACATGAGGTAAGTGTGTACTATATGGTGTGCATGTTACCAATGGTAGCACACTCTGTCTCCACAAAACCCCTATGAGGCAGCCGTTACCACCATTGCTCCCACTTCACAAGGAGTGGATGGACCTGCCCACGTAGTGTGGTGGGGCCTGGATGCAACACAGTCTCTTCTGAGTTTGAGCACTGGCCCCAAACGAGCCCTTGTCCTAGCTATGTGGTATATTTAGTCTGTTCTCTTTTTTTAAAACAGTACAAATGTTAAAAAAAAAAAAAAAACTCACTGCTGTGGAGTCGGATCCGACTCACAGCAACCCCTCTTTGGATTTCCAAGGGGGTATCACTACGGAAGTAGATTGCCCACCCTTCCTTCTCAGGAGTGGCTGCTGGGTTTGAACCGCCAGCCTTCTGGTTAGCAGTCAAATGCCTTAGGCTCTACACTACCAGCACTCCCGTAATAATACATACAACAAAACATTTGCCAATTCAACCGTTTTTACATGTCCAATTCAGTAACATCGGTTCCTTTCATCATGTTGTACAGCCATCACCACTATCTTTTTCTAAATTATTCCACCATGAACAGAAACTCAGTGTCCCTGAAGTAATAACTTCCCTCTGCCCTCCCACCCACCCTTGGTAATACCAATTAGCTTTGGTCTCTCTATAGGAGCTCTGGTGGGGTAGTGCCTAAGACATTTGACTACTAACCGGAAAGCTGGTGGTTCAAACCCACCAGTCACTCCTTGGAAGGAAGGTTGGGCGATCCACTTCTGTAGTGATACCACCTTGGAAACCTGAGAAGGGGTCGCTGTGTGTCACATCTGACTCCACAGCAGTGGGTTTGGTTTGGGTTTGGTTTGGATCTCTCTGTAAGACCAAAAAACAAACCCACTGTTGTCAAGTTGATTCCAAGTCATGGTGACCCCATGTGTGACAGAGTAGAACTGCTCCATAGGTTTTCTTGGCTGTGATCTTTATGGAAGCAGATTGCCAGGCCTTTCTTCTGCAGCACCAATGGGTGGGTTGAAATTCCCAGCCTTTAGGTTAGTAGTATTTAGGTTAGCATAAAACATTAACACCACACATTTGCTTGTTTCATAGAGGTGAGATTATTCAGTTCTTGTCCCGTGCATTGGGGCTTTCATCCAGAACACCCTCTGTGGTTGGGGAAGCTGAGGTAGCGTGAGGACGGGTACGCAGTAGTAAATTACCTGGTATGGCTTTTCTAGCCACAAGTCGTTGTAAACTCCATGGTGGAATTTGCTGTGAGTAACTGAGTAGCTACTGATTGTTAAAATCATCCACCTAGGGTTTTTCTGTTGGGAGCAGCACAAAGTAATGTTCTGGGAAGTTCACTCTCTCTCAGGTGCTTAGAATTTTGATGTTATGATTGGTTAGTGTGGGTAGTTAAGTTTGCGTGTCAACTTGGCTAGGTCTGGTTGAGTGGCTGGGCAGCTGGATGTAGTATTCCCCATGATGAGACTGGTAATTAACTCCATGGTGGAATCTACTGGGAGCAGCTGAGTAGCTGCCTTTGGGACGTGGTCTGCTTCCTGTATATAAAAAGCAACTTTGAGAATGGTCTCTAGCCTATGGCACACTTGGACCCTGCATGTAGCCGTGTCATTGCTCAGCAGCCTGCTATGCTCTGCCGACCTTGGGACTTATGATGGACTTAGTTAACGGCCTGCCGTGTGGTTTGGTAACATCGGGACTATGTCTTTTGACTTGTCAACCTTGGGGCTTCTCAGCCTCAGCAGCCAGCAGTTGTCTGAGTGAAGAAATGCCTTTAGCTCCAGTGGGCCGGGAGCAGGAGGCAGAGCTGGACCCCAAGGTTGAGGGGCTTTCACCCAGTTCCTAGAGCCTGGCACCTGGAACTTGGACTTAAATCCTCCAAATTATAAGAATAAACTCCTGTTTGTTAAGGCCTTCCCATTTGTGGTATATTCTTGTCAGAGCGGCACTAGGTACCCAGAACAGTTACTTTGGCCACTCTGCCAGGCTCCAAAGGAGGCCTCCTAGAGGCAGAAGTCTCTCTGACTGCTGGCTGAGAAACGTGCTGCTGAAAGAGAAACGTGCTCCTGAGAGACACGTGCTGCAGGGAAAGAGATGCAAGAGACACACACTGCTGAGTGAGACACCAAGGGACATGCACTGCTGGGAAAGAGACTGTGAGACTGTTGGCTGAGAGACAGTGGGCTGAGAGAGACTGAACGTTTTTCTTGAACTTGAATTGTAGCCTGGTGCTTCCCTAATAAACCCCATAATCTGTGAGTTCTGTGTGGTCACTGCAGCGAATTATTGAACCCAGCAGAAAGGTGGTGGGTGCTGCAGGAGGAACGGTTGGTGTCAGGGTTGGTGAAAGGGCTGGAGGGAGGTAGCATGTCCAGCCTCACCTCACAGTAATGGGCCTTGGGCTACTGATAGTGATTCTGTCTTCCTTTTGCGTGGTTAGAGGGGGTCAGAAGATGTGGCCTCGCTGCCCCTTTAGCAACAGGGGACAGGGGTTGCAAGTCTAAATGAACCCAGAGAGCCTCTGGTGCCTGGCCACGGGGCTCTGTTCTTATCAGTGGATCCTGGTGGCCTCTCAGAGTTGCATGGGCTTTTCCCTGGCCTCAGCACAGTCCAGGGATGAGGGCAGAGCAGCCACAGTGATCCCCATTTGACAGACAAGGAAAGAGAGGCCCAGAGAACAAGTGATGCACCCCAGGTCTGGTCCCCAGCTGGGAATTGTGGGGCTGGACTCCTGCTTGGCCCCTTAGAGCTGTCTCTATGAGGGCTGGGGGCACAGATCTGGGGCAGGGGTTATCCTGTGGAATCATGGGCAATTCTCAAACTAGGAAAGAAACAGGCACCCTGTAATGAAGCATGACAGGGACAAAAATGGCACCTCACCAAAGGTTTATTTAAAAACCTCAAGCAAATGGGAAATTCTTCAGTTATTGCCAGAGTGGCTTCAGGTCCAGCTGTATCCAGGGGCTCAAAAGGTGTTGCTGAAGTTCTTATCTGTTTCTGGAAAAGCATGTCCCGGGAGGGATTCCTTAGACCGACCGGCACTTTGCAAAGGCCCAAAGGGATATGCAGGCAGGCATGGCCCTGGGTGGGGGTGGGAGGGCTGCAGGTAGGCAGTGCATCCCTAGGACCCTTCTCTGCAAGACCCACTCTCCAGGGGTTACTGTGGTCCCTGGAGAGGCAGGGGGCTTGGAACAAGGCCAGGTCTCTCCTTCCAGCCGCCAAGGGGCAAGAGGTGGTGTGGGTAGATGGGCGCAGACTGACACAGCAGGGATCAAGGTCTGGCCTAAAGGTCCAGCCCCTTTTGTGTGGCTGATCCTGAAATGTGCGGAGTCACGGTCCTACAGGAGAGATCAGAGAAGCTGACAGGTGATGGGGACCTGGGTGGAGCTGGGGGCCCTTATCCCCCAACAGAGATGACAGATGCAGAAAGAGCACACGACCAAGAGGCCTTGCCTTGAGTAGCTGCTCTCAGAAAGGAGGCATGCCTCTTGCTGCTTCCGCTGGGGTCGCCAAACGTGGAGACCAGGACCCTGGAGGTTCCAGGCCCCAACTTCTTCACCTCAGAGCGAGAGCCTGTCCAAGAGATGGAGATAGACACAGATAAGAGCTCTGCTTCCATAAAGCTTTGCAGCCTTGGAAACCTTGTGGGTCAGTTCTGCTCTCCCCTATAGGGTCACTATGAGTCAGAATTGACTCAATGGCAGTGGGTTTGATTTTGAGTTTAGCTAGTAGAGTTTAATGTAAAATTTAAACATGAAAACTGAAGAAAAAACTAAGCCCATAAATGAATTCAGCAATATATGGCTAAATACAGACATGTTTGCTTTCGGCAAGTTTTCCTATTGAAATCAATTCAGTAAATAAATATTTAACAAGCAACAAAACTGATGTTTATATTTACTTGGCAGTCAGTTTATGCTCTACAAGAGCTAAAATTTTCCATTCCCACTAATGCTTTCTATTCCTTGACATTAGTCTGTAATAAATAGCACAACTGTGTTTAAAAAAAAGAGAAAGAAACAGATAAGAACTCCAGCAACACCCTTTGAGCCTCTGGATCCAGCCGGACCTGAAACCACTTTGCCAATAACGATCTGCCAATAACTGATGAATTTCCCATTTGCTTTAGTTCCCAACTCTGGCAACTGAAAGTGTCCTGGCTGGATGGTTATTCACTCAGAGGCTCATTCACTTAGTACCGCTACTCCACCTCTTTGGGGTGGAGGCGCCTGCCAGCATGCTGGGCTCCAACTCCCTCCGTTGGGCTAAGCAGCACAGGGGCCCATGGGCAGGAGACTGGGGTCTCACGCACCTCGGAGGGGCTTCCGGGTGCCGTCATGGAGCTTTGAGGGGTTCTTGCTCCGGGAGTCCAGAAACTTCATGGCATTCTGCACCCACCTGACCTGTGGGTTCCCACACACCACCCTGTGTCTCCAGGGGAGGAAGAAACTGTGGCAAGAGGGGAGCGAGGCCCAAGTTAGTGTGTAAGGGGGTTGCCTAGCCATGCGTGAGCCCCCCCAGCCCCCACGGCACCACTCACATCACGGCAGGCAGGTTGCAGCTCCCGCTCACCTCCTGGCGTCGGTAACCCTTAGCGTGTCGAAGCATGGCTGTCTTAGTGATGTGGTGGTAAGCCAGGCAGCAGTCCTCAAAGGCGCCTGCAAGCGCACCGCCGCACCTCTGCTCATGGCTGTGTGCGTGTGCAGTGATGCATGCCACCCACACACAAGGCCATGTACAAGTGCATATACTGAGACTCTCCCAGGCCTCAGAGAGGCATGGGCAGCCCCAGCAATAAGGAAACTGCCAGCTCACCCTTGGCTCTTGATATCAGAAAGCTGGCAGATCGGAGAAGTTCTTAGTCCCCAGATGGGAATGGCATGGTGACCAAACGAATAGGAGACCAGAGCCATTTTGGCTCTCGCGCCCGGCAGAGGGCAGTGGGCAGCAGGTGCAGCAGTCCGAGCAGGGGCCAGCTCCGCCCACCTTGTTTTTGTTGATCCTGATTCATGGCGACCCCGTGTGTGACAGAGTAAGACTGCTCCACAGGCTTCCTTGGGAGCTCTGGTAGCGTAGTGCCTGAGGCACTTGACTGCTAACCAGAAGGCTGGCGGTTCAAACCCACCACCCACTCCTCAGAAGGAAGATGGGGCAATCCACTTCCATAGTGATACTGCCTTGGAAACCCAAGGAGGGGTCACTATGAGTCGGGTCCGACTTGACAGCAAATAACAACAACAACAACAACATGGGCTTCCTTGGCTGTGATCTTTATGGAAGCAGATGGCCGGGCCTTTCTCCCGTGACACCACCAGGCAGGTGTGAACCACTGACACACCGTTTGTGCCACCCAGAGACCTCTGAAAAGCTCCCACTCTGTGCCAAATGTCTAAACAACAGATGAGTTGGACATAGTGTTGCCTTTGGGAGCACCCAGGCTTGGGGGGCCATGGGGAAGTGGATGGGTGCTGGGTGGTGGTGACAGTGGTAGAAGCCAAGGCAAACTCCTTGGCCCTGCCTTCAAGGCCCTCTGCAACCTGCCCCTGTGTTGAACCCTTGCCTCCGGGCTACTTCTGATCCTGGCACAGCCCAGCAGTACGGTGGTAGAGTAACTGAGGAGCTAGGCCCCTGCATTCCCCAGCTTTGGTCCAGGAGAGCAAGTGGGCAGTGGGGTCAGCTGGCCCCTGGGCTGCAGTACCCCTCAGCCGTGTCAGATTACCCAATACACAAGGTGAGCACAGGCTTACTTACTGATCTGTAGTGAAATTTTTCACATTTTTCCACCACATCAAAGATTCTGCTTCTGCGTGTGGCTGGCATCTGTCTCTCTCCCAGCCCCACAGCCTCTTCCTACAGAGTCAAAGCCTCTTCTCTTCAAATTTACAACCCCTGCCAGCAAGCAAGGTAAGCATGGGCTTACTTGTACTTACTGACTAATCTGCAGTGAACAGTTTCACATGTTTTTCACATCAAACACGTGAAACTGTTCACTACAGCTTTGTAAGTAAGTACAACACAACGCGACACACTGCCTTCCAGTCGAATTCGACTCATAGCGACCAAGAAAAAACCAAATCCACTGCCATGGGGTCGATTCTGACTCATAGAGCCCCTAGAGAACAGAGTAGAACTGCACCATAGGGTTCCAAGGCTGTCAATCTTTACAGAAGCTCACTGTCTCATCATTCTCCCACGGAGTGGCTGGCGTGGGTTTGAACCACCAACCTTTCGGTTAGCAGTTGAATGCTTTAACCACTACACAGCCAGAGCTCCCTAAGCATGAATAAGCCCATGCGTACCTTGCTTATTGGGTAATCTGCCCCTGCCCGGTGGGCAGTTCCAGGGCTGGGGCTGCCCTTCCCCCAGATCAAAGGGCCAGCTCTGATAGCAGGGGAACACAGGCCAGACCTCTCCCGGGCAAAGGCTACTGCACCTGGGGGCAGGGCCTGGGGCCCTCAGACCCAGCTAAGGGGCAGGTGGGGCAGCAGGTGGGGCCTCAGTCCTGGCCAGGGGCGCGGTGTTGCCAGCTGCTGGGACTCAGTGACCTCCCCTGTGCCCACAGATATGCAGCACACAGTGGCTGGCTTCTGTTCACCCAAGCCCTGAGTCCCTGCTAGGAGGGAAAAGGCTATTCATGACAAGGGGGACATGGGGTGGGAAATCGCCATAGTAACAGGAATGGCTATCATTGTTGCCCAGTCCTGGACAAAGAATTTTACAGGCAGATCCTCAGTGAGAATTAGGATTCCTATTTTGCAGATGAGGAAAGTGAGGTTTATAAAGGTAGTGTGGTCAAGCTGGTGGGATTGCACAGGCTGCCTGGGGAAAGCCGGGATTGGGGCCCACCTAGCTCTGGTCTCTAATCGCAGCCCTGGTTCTGCAGGGTGAGACATGGCAACATGTCCCTGGATAAGGGGTTGGGGCATGGCTGGGGGCCACCCTCTACCCCCACAGTCCCTACACTGGCTGGAGTCTTTCCAGGGAGACCTTGGCTCGTGGACTTTGGAGGCAGCATGAGGCCTCTGGAAGAAGGAACTGGGGACCCTCTTCTCCCCCAAGGTGCTCCTCTGTTCCTACCACCATCTGGCGGATTATGGGTAGGAGCCAGCAAAGAATTCACTGGATCCTGGGGGGTGGGGAGTGCAGACAGGGCCAATGATAGTACCTTGGGTACGGACAGCAGGGACCCAGGCCCCCACGAAGCAGGCCACCAGGCAGGCCAAGAGCCACAGGTTCATGGTGCAGAATGGTCCCTATCCCTGGGTGCTCGAGAGATTCTGTGGCCACCTGGGAAGATGGGTGGAGGGGGATGAGGACCCAAGGACAGTGGCATGCACTGGAGGCACCCCCCCTCACCAGGCCCTGGTGAGTCAGGATGGGGACAGGCAGGGCTACAGGGACCTGCAGCTGCCCTCAGACTTGCTCCAGGAGGGGCTTACCTGTGTGACCTGTGAGGGCGTCTGCTGAGCTCTCTCTCCTGGCTCCTGCTGGGCCGGCAGGCTGGGCTTCACCCTTTATAGGCAGATAGAGCCCTGCCCTGCCACCTGCCCTTCCTCCTCTTCCCCACCCCTGACCCTCCTCCCCATCCTTCCTCTTTTTCCCATTCTCTTTCCAGTTTCTCTCTCCAGTATCAGAGTGTACCTGGAAGGACAAGAGGGCCAGAGCAAAGAGCAGGACGGGAATAACTGGCTCCCTCAATGAGCTACTAGGACAGGGGTCCCCTTGGTGAGGAGAGGTAGACAGACACAGATGGACCCTGGACCCTAACCAACCATGCCTTGAGAAGGATGGCTACTCCAGGGCCCCCTCGCCTGCCCCCTCATCCCAGCCTTGTTGGCCAGCACCCCTGCTTTCTCCCTAAAGGGCCCTTGTTCCTCCCCACCTTGCTCCCACACAGACCTCAGGGTTCCTGGAGCCTTCATTCCCCATTCCCAAGCCACCTGGTCCCTGACTTTCATCCATTTTTCTCTTCTTCCAGACACTGGGGTGACTTAGTATTTCCAGAAAAGCCCTGGTTTTGAGACTGGGCTGATCTACAGAACCAGGAAGTAGCTGAATGTTTTCCAGGAGCTGGTTGTTGGTGGGGGCCTTGAATAGATTCCTGCTCAGAGTAGAACTGCCCCCCAGGGCTGTCATCTTTATGAAAGCAGATCACTGGGGTCTTTCTCCTGCAGAGCCGCGGGCTAGGTTCCAACTGCCAATCTTTTGGTTGGCAGTGCAGCTCTTAATCACTGTGCCACCAGGACTCCTTGTAGGGGCTAGAGAGAGAAGGAAATGGGGAGTGACCACTAATGTGGACAGGTTTCCTCTGGAGGTGATGAAATGTTCTGGAATTGGTTAGTGGTGATGCTTGCACAATTCTGCCAATTCACTGAGCACCATGAAATGGAACGCACACCTTAAACATGTGAGTTATAGCTCTCATCAAGCTTTATTTACAAAAACAACAAAGAAATGCCCTGGTTTGGGAAGAAAAACAGTCAGGCCCAGGTAACCAGGCCCACAGGCAATAAGGGGAAAGCCTTGGAGACAGGACTTCCAGCACTTCCTCTCCTGCTGGTGAAGAAAGCGCTCTGGTGGCGCAGTGCCTAAGGCACTTGACTGCTACCTAGAAGGCTGGCGGTTCAAACCCACCAGCCAACCACTCCGCGAAAGATTGCAATAATGATACTGCCTCGGGGAAACCCAAGGAGGATGGTTTTGGAACGTGAGCATGGGGGAGGGGACTGGTGGGGAGTAGGGGTGGGTGGGCACTGCAGAGCCACACCACAGTGCTTTTGAATTTTGTTGTCTGCGTCCCCCGGCCACTTTTGGCCCCCTGGGGTTTTTACCACATTCTGTACCACTTTCTGAATTGACTCTAGGCAGTGAGTTTGGATTTTGGTTTTGTCCCACATTCTAGGGAGCTCTGGTGCCGCCCTGATTAAAGCATTTGGCTGCTGCCCACCAGCCTCTTCCGGGGAGAAAGATGAGGCAGTCTTCTGTAACGATTTACAGCCTTGGAACCCCTATGGGGGCAGTTCTACAGGGTCGCTAAGAGTCAGAATCCACTCTAAGGCACCGGGTTTGATTTGGTTTTGGGTATCACTTTCTCGTTCCTCCAGCTCTACTGAGGGTCCCTGGCGAGGACTCTGGTCTATTCTCCCCGCCAGGCCACCTAGTTGGCACGCCGTGGTGCGGGGTTCGGGGCTGGCCCCGTAGGATTTAGAGGCGGGGCCGGGTCTGGTGGGTGTGACTTAGCCCCGGGGGCGGGGTTACAGGAGTGGGGCTTAAAGCGGTAGGCTTACTATCCTCACCTCGCTGGAGCCTCTTGCTCGCGCCGCAGGCTGGGGCGTCCGGAGGTCTCTTGGCTGTCCCTGAGGCCATGGTCACCCCCAGCCTGGGCGCTGCCTCTGGTCCTCAGCCTCTTGCCCCGGGTAGGTGACGCTGGGCCGGCACGAGGCTCCGCGTGGCTGCGGGCGCGGGCGTCGGGACTCGGCGTGGCTGGCTCCCCGCTCCGACTCACTGACCCTGCCTGCCCCAGATCTGTTACCCATACTTGGCGAAGGTCACCTCCCCCTCCCTTCCGGTCAGTCCCACCTGCAGCCTTAACGGGTAGGAGGGGGCCCTGAGGGACCAGGACGCAGGGTGGATGGGGGGGCATCTCGGGCCGTCACATGGATGTGCATGCTTTAGGACCCAGCTCGGGACTCCCTGGCCTAGGGAGAGAGGCGGTACTCAGGGAGATGACACCCTGAACTAAACCCCACAGTTCTGAAGACCACTGTTGGAGTGTGAGGGCCACATCTTTTGGTTCTGAGCTGAATTGGGGGGAGGGGCGTTGGTGGTGCTTATTAGCTGCTTAGAGTTGATTCCGATTCATGGTGACCCCACGTGTTGCCAAGAACCTTCTGGAATCTCAGTCCCCCAGAGCCGGAGCTGGGATTGGAGGCACAGAAGTTCAGAGAACTGCAGGCAGCAGCTGGACCACACAGAACAAAAAGACTGCAGGAGGGTGAACCTGAGAACAGCTCTGGTTAAGAGGGGCCTGGGAATTTCATGGAAAACAGGTGTGTTGGTTACTTCGTGCTGCTCTCATGGGAGATGCCACAAAAGAGTATCTGTGAGAAACAGGGATTTGTTCTCTTACGCTTTAGGAGGCTAGAAGTCCCCGTTCAAAGTGCTGGCTCTAGGGGCTGGGTGAAGGCCCCTCGACCTTGGCTCTGCCTCCTACTCTCGGCCCAGGAGCTGGAGGTGTCTCTTCACTCAGACAGCTGCTGGCTGCTGAGGCTGACAAACCCAAGGGTGACAGGTGAAATGGCACAGTCACACAACACAGCAGGCCACTGGTTCATGTCTGGGAAAACCAAAAATGCTGGCTGCTGAGGCTGACAAACCCAAGGTCGACAGGTGAAAAGGCACAGTCCCAAGATTATCACACAACACGGCAGGCCACTCACTGGTTCAAGTCCGGGAAAACCAAAAATCAAACTCACTGCTGTTGAGTTGGATCCGACTCATAGTGACCCCTCCTTGGGTTTCCGAGGTGATATCTCTATGGAAGTAGGTCTTCTTTCCAAGGAGTGGCTGGTGGGTTTGAACCACCAGCCTTCTGGTTAGCAGTCAAGTGCCTTAGGCACTACGCTACCAGAGCTCCCGTAAGTCCAGGAACAGTCCTAAAATTGGCAGACAACTTGGCAGACTGCTGAATGAAGACTCTGCTTCCTGCAGGGTCCAAGCGTGCCAAAAAAGCTCAGAGCCCTTTCTCAAATCTGTCTTCTTATATACTAGAAGCAGACCACATCCCTAAGGCAGCTACTCAGCTGTTCTAGTAGATTCCACCATGGAATTGATTACCAGTCTCCTCTTGGGGAATAACTATATCCAGCTGCCCAGCCACTCAAAACCAGGCCCGCCAAGTTGACACACAATTACCATACCAAGGGAGATAAAAAATTAAATGCTGTGACCTCCTGAGTCCTCAATGAACACCTGTCTGGGGCCAAGTGATGGGTTGGACATTGGAGACCATGAGGCAGCTCACACATGTGCCATTCCCCACGTTGGGGCTCAAATCCAGGTGGGAGTGTCCAGAAGATTACAACACTGCCGGAGGTGTGTTACTGTGGGAACGTATGTTGGTTCATCCTATGTATAGACTGGGCTATAAAACACAAGTCTAGTTGCTGTTCTGGAGAAAGTGCATATAATCAAATCATTTGGCTGGACATAAAGCAGATTCTGTTCCATAATGTAATCTGATGTTTTGTTGTTGTTGTTGTTAAGTGCCGTCGAGTCATTTCCGACTCATAGCGACCCCATGCACAGCAGAACGAAACACTGCCCGATCCCGCACCAGCCCCACAATCCCTGCTATACTTGAGCCCATCATCGCAGCCACCGTGTCAATCCATCTCGTTGAAGGCCTCCCCCTCTTTCATCGACCCTCCACCCTACCAAGCATGACATCCTTCTCCAGGGAATGGTCCCTTCTGACAACATGACCAAAATAGGTGAGACGAAGTCTGGCCATTCTTGCTTCCAAGGAGCATTGTGGCTGCACTTCCTCCAGGACAGATCTGTTAGTTCTTTTAGCAGTCCATGGTACTTTCAGCATTCTCCGCCAGCACCACAACTCAAAAGCATCAACTCTTCTTCGGTCTTCCTTATTCATTGTCCAGCTCTCACAAGCATACGAGGCGATTGGAAATATCATGGCTTGTGTCAGGCGCACCTTAGTCCTCAAGGAGATATCCTTGCTCCTCAGCACTTGATACAGTTCCTTCGCAGTTGACTTTCCCAATGCTACACGTCGTCTAATGTCCTGACTGCTCCTTCTGTTGGCATTGATTGTAGAAACAAGCAATGTGAATTCTTTGACAAGCTCAATCTTCTCTCCATTTATTGTGATGCTGCTCATTGGTCCAGTTGTGAGGATTTTTGTTTTCTTTATATTGAGACGTAATCCATACTGCAGACTGTATTCTTCAACCTTCATCAGTAGGTGCCTTAAGTCATCCTCACTTTCAGCAAGCAAAGTTGTATCGTCTGCATATCTCAGGTTGTTAATGATTCTTCCTCCAATCCTGATACCACGTTTTTCTTCATATAGTCCAGCTTCTCAGATTATTTGCTCAGCATATAGATTGAATAAGTGTGGAGAAAGGATACAACCCTGACACACTCCCTTCTTGATTTTAAACCATGTAGTGTCCCCTTGTTCTGTTCGAACGACAGCCTCCTGGTCAAGGTACAGATT